ATGCACCGAAAAAAACAGTAAAAAAAAATTAACTATTTGAGACATTTTGAGAGGAAGAGAGCAGTAGCAGAGAGCAGTATGTGTTGAGATGACCTGTCTTTTCTGGTTGTATTCACTATGGATCGCATCATGGGCATAATGCGGCACGTTCTACCATTTTTTTCCTTCACAAGAAACCTGGAACTGACTGCGCTGGTGTACCGGGTCCATTTGAATACATGGAAAACACTTTGCATGCATTTTTGATGATGAAAAAAGACTCTGGACAGCATCTGGACATGAAACAGTTCTAAAAGCGGTTAGCCGCATCTACAAGCGTTTGGCATTTGAAACGCCGGTAAAATATACTCCTGAATGCAAGCTTGATGCGTTAAAAAAAGAAAAGAAAAGAAGACTGTAACTCAACTGTAAACGACGATGTGTACATGGACACATGGGAAAACATTAGGGAGAGTTCAGGGGCTGCTGAAAAAGAAACCCAGAAAAGCTCCTTAACGTGAGTTTATCAGCTTCCGTGTACATGAGCCCTAAATCAATTAATTTACACATACTGGGAATTTTTTTTCAGCAAAGACATGGAGCAGAATACATTTAGGCCTAAGTTTATGATGAAATTTGATTTTTAAAATTTTTTTACTGGACACGTTTAATCACTTGCCTACCGGGTACTCCTACCCCCTTCCTTACCAGGCCAAATTTTCAGTGCTGTCGCACTTTGAATGACAATTGCGCGGTCATGCAACATTATATCCATATGAAAAATTTTTATCATTTTTTTTCTCACAAATAGAGCTTTCTTTTGATAGTATTTACTTGCTGCTGGGTATTTTACTATTGGCGCTATAAACAAAAAGAGGGCAAAAAAATTTTGCAAACAGGTAATTTTTCTCCTTCACTGATGTGCATTGGTGAGGCTGCACTGATAGGTGGCACTGACTGGCACCACTGCTGGGCACCGATCATCAGTGCCCTGATGATTGGTGGCGATCCCTGCTCTGACAGCGTGAGGAAAGTGCAGCAGAGAACTGGCAGTTGCATTTCCCAGTGATCAGCGTGTCATTGGAGATGGCTGATCACGTGTAAAAGGCTCTGTGATTGGCCTTTTACCACACCACATGATCGGCTGTGTCCGTCATTGGAGACGGCTGATCACGTGGTAAAAGGCTGCTGTGATTGGCCTTTTACCACACCACATGATCGGCTGTGTCGTCATTGGAGACGGCTGATCACGTGGTAAAAGGCTGCTGTGATTGGCCTTTTACCACACCACATGATCAGCTGTGTCCATAATACACAGAGATCGCTGGGGGCGCACAGGAGAGCGGGTTCTGGGAGAACGTCATATGAAGGCCTCCCAGAACTGACCGGCCACAGAGCAGCTGTCATTTAGCTACCTGCGGTCGGCAACTAGTTAATAGCAAAAAGCCAAAAATTGTTTTTTTCTAAAAAAATTGTGAGTCTTTTTTGTTTATAGTGCAATGAATAAAACATACAGGCTATCAAATAACACCAAAAGAAAGTTCAATTCATGGGGGGAAAAAAAAAAAAAGACGTAAATTTCACTTGGATGCAGCACTGCACGACCACACAATTGTCAGTTAAAGTAACGCAGTGCTGTATTGCAAAAAAAAAAATGGCCTAGTCAGGAAGGGGGGGGGGGGGGTGGTAAATCGTCTGGAGGGCAAGGGGTTAAATACCACCAAAAGAAAGCTCTAGATGTCCCAAAAAATTGATAAAAATGTCATTTGAGTACAGTGTTGCACGCCCGCGCAATTGTCATTCAAAGTGTGACAGAGGTGAAAGCAGAAAATTGTCCTGGGCAGGAAGGGGGGAGCCCAGTATTGAAGTGGTTAATGTCCTCCTCTACACTCACTCTCCTGAGAAGCTCAGAGCCAACCTACCAACCCTAAACACGCGCCCCATATTGAACTGACAGGCTGAGTAAATGGCGAACTTGGTGCAACTACAAGTCCCAGCAATTCAATAGTCCACCACCTCATCAGACATCACCTGCGGCTTCGCGCTCTTACCATGGTGACGTCACCCTCCGCCGGTCAGAGCCGATCTCCTCTACAACCGCCTCAGACTCACTCAGCACAACCAGCACTTCACGTTTTGTGTTCAATTTCAATGCCGGCCACAAAGCCTCGCGAGAACTCGGGACCCAATCACAGGAGGTCTCATGTGTATTCTATTTCTGACACTAGAGAGGTGATTTGCTAAGTGTGTGCTGCGGCGCAAGGAGTCCTGTGGCGGCCATGATTGTGTAGTCGGAGAGAGGCGTACCCTAGTTTTGCATATTGAAACTTTCAATAAAAATCAAAGGCAAGTCACTGACTTTTTATAATAGAACTCAAAGTATTTCTTTATTGTTACATCTTCTCACTTCTGTAGAGAAAAAAAAATCTGCATATGGGGACTAAAATGTAAGGTAAGACAAAAGTTTTTATTTCATTTTGTGTAGAAAAAGGGCGAATTCACACTATACAAGCCAGCGAATCGCAGAGCAGCCAGAGCGATCACCGATCCGGCCGCACTAGGGGCAGTGGGATGTGCAGTTCAGCGCATAACACTGCTCCTTGTTCAATTTTTGTACAACCTTTTTTTTGAAGTGTACAAACGTACACTACTTTCACTGCAATGTTGGACGGCGTTGGGGTTACCACCTCGTCCCTTTAAGGCCCGTCACTCATCTATAGGACATGGAGAATAGCAGAGGTACATACCCTTAAGGTAGGCATGTCCAAAGACTGGCCCATGGGCCAATTGCAGCCCATGTTCCAGGTTAATATGGCCCCACAGGCAATTTGGCAATATCTAAAAAGGAAAAAAAAGTGCCTCTAAGTGCAATATGTGGCACATTTATTGAGGAACATAATGAGAAACACATGATGAAAACGAAAGACTTAGGCATATGTGGTGAAAGGACATGGTGGCATCCTCGATGTATACGCCATAGTAAGCGCTGGAGGAGACTCGGGATGTTCACAGGGAGCCGGCCGGCATGTGTGAGATCCAAAGATGGCGTCCGGAGTCCACCCTGGATCGCAGCGTTGACGTCAGCATGATGACGTAGGGATGTCCATCATGCAATGCGATGCGTTTCGGAGTATTCGCGAGGCCGATGAAAGGCAAAGCTGCGCTTCCTTCTCAAATATTGAAGGAAATTAGTGAGAGTAATTTCGCTTTTTTTTTTTTTTTTTTTTTTTTAGGGGGAGAAACAAGTACAGATTTAAAATATGTCATGACCAGAATCAGTCGCTCCTTTATCCATTCATTTTTTTTTGCCGCAAAATGGTCGGCCCTCACGCATGTTTACTTCATCAAATCTGGCCCTTCTGAAAAAAGTTTGGACACCCCTGCCTTAAAGTGTATGTAAACTGTAAAAATATTTTTTCTTATGTGCTCATATTTAGTCTGTTAAATATGCCATTGAAAGTGTTTTATTATATCTGTGCAGAAAATAAAGAAAGCTGTTCATCCAGCCAGAAAACCTGTGAGCTTATAACTTGTTCCCTGCTATCTCAATGGACAGGTACCCCCTCTTATAATTACTATACAGGATTTATATAGCGCCAACAGTTTGCTCAGCACTTTGCAATATAAAGGGAGACAATACAGCAACAATACAGTTCAATACAAGAGGGATAGGAGGGCCCTGCTCCTTGGAGCTTGCAATCTAACGAGGGAGGTGCTGGTGGTACAAAAGGTAATAACTGTGGGGGGTGAACTGATAGGAGGAAGAGAAGATTCCATAATTAGCTGAAGGCAGGATAGGCTTCTCTGAAGAGATAGGTTTTCAGAAATCGCCTAAAAGTGGGTAGAGTAGGCGATAGTCAGATTGGGGTATAGAGTTCCAGAGGATGGGAAGGCTCTGGAGAAGTCCTGGAGACAAGCATGGGAGGAGGAGACAAGGGAGCTAGAGAGCAGGAGGTCGTGGGAGGAGAGGAGAGGACGGTTTGGGTGATATTTGGAGACAAGATTGGTGATGTAATTTGGGGCAGAGTTATAAATGGTTTTATATGTTATTGTTAATGTTTTTAATTTTATTCGTTGGGCAGTGGGAAGCCAGTGGAGGGATTGGCAGAGAGGGGTGGCAGATATGGAATGGTTAGTAAGGTGGATGAGTCTGGCAGCAGCATTCATGATAAACTAAAGAGGGGATAGCCTGCGATGAGGTAGGCCAATGAGGGAGTTACAATAGTCAAGGCGAGATATAACAAGGGAGTGAATAAGTTGCTTAGTAGTTTCCGAGGTTAAGAACGGGCGTATCTTGGAGATGTTGCAGAGGTGAAGTCTACAAGATTTGGACAGTAATTGGATTTGGGGCTGAAAGGACAGATGGGAGTCTAGGATTACACCTAGTACCCTGGCATGAGGGGAGGGACTGATGATTGTGTTATTGATCTTGATGGAGACGTCAGGGGAGGGGGCATGGGCTGGGGGGAATAGTATGAGCTCTGTTTTGGAAAGATTGAGTTTGAGGAAGTGGAGTGACATCCATGCTGATATGTCATTTAGTAGGTTAGTAATGCGAGAGAAGACTGAAGGGGTGAGATGAGGAGTAGAAAGATAGATTTGTGTGTCATCAGCATAGAGATGGTACTTAAAGTCATGGGAGTTTATCAAGTGACCAAGGGAGGAGGTGTAGATGGAGAAGAGAAGGGGTCCAAGGACAGAACCTTGAGGGACCCCTACAGAAAGAGGGAGTGAAGAGGAGGAGCCAGAGTTATAGGTAACACTGAAGGAGTGCTGTGATAGGTAGGAGGAGAACCAGGAGAGAGCAGAGTCTTGGAGGCCAAGAGAGTGGAGTTTTTTGAGGAGGAGGGAATGATCAACCGTATCAAAAGCCACAGAGAGGTCAAGTAGTAAGAGTACGGAGTAGTGGTCATTGGTTTTAGCAGTTAGTAAATCATTAGTTTTAGTAGGACAGTTTCAGTGAAGTGTAGTGAGCGAAAGCCAGACTGTAAAGGGTCAATAAGGTTGTTGTCAGTGAGGTAGGAGCTCAGGCGATTGTAGACTAAGCGCTCTAAGAGTTTAGAGGTAAACGGGTGCAGGGAGATGGGTCTTAAGTTGCTCAGGTTGGTGGGGTTCAGCGAGGGCTTTTTAAGTATGGGAGTGATGTGTGGGCAGCACAGTGGCTAAATGGTTAGCACTTCCGCCTGGCAATACTAGGGTCGTTGGTTTGAATCCCAGCCACGGCACCACCTGCCTGGAGTTTGCATGTTCTCCCTGTGCCTGCGTGGGTCTCCTCTGGGTACTCCAGTTTCCTCCCACACTCCAAAGACATGCTGGTAGGTTAATTGGATCCTGTCTAAATTGGCCCTAGTATGCATATGTATGAATGTGAGTTAGGGACCTTAGATTGTACACCCCTTGAGGGTTAGGGACTGATGTGAATGTACAATATATATGTGTAAAGCGCTGCGTAAATTGACAGCGCTATATAAGTACCTGAAATAAATAATGTGTGCATGCTTTAGAGGAGAGGGGAAGGCACCGTGAGAGGGAGAGATTGAAGATGTGAGTGAGGGAACATAGGAGAGAAGAACAGGGTGACCATAGTAGTTGAGAGGGGAAAGGATCCAGGGAGCACGTGGTAAGACGGGCTTCTGAGAAAACTTCAGTGACCTCTTCAGTAGTAGCAAGGTCAAAAGAGGAAAGTGTTGAGGTTCAGTATAAGGTATGCTAAGTGGGATAGATGTCTGTGTAGTGGAGATGCCCCTACCAATTGCATCAATCTTGTTTTTGAAATGATTAATAGAGAAGAGAGGGAGGTGTCACACCTCATTCACAGGGAGTGATTACATTCATGCCCCACACAAGGCCGTGTTTTACTGACACAGGGATGCACAGGTGATGACTGTATCTCCTTTCCAACAATCTCACTGTGTCCCAACATGACATCTGACATTTGTGTGTGTTCGGAGACTCATACCCACACAGATGTCATTGGGATACAGCGGCTGTGTCCCAACGGACGAGACTGCTGAAAAGGGGATACAGTCATCACCTATACATCCCAATCAGAGGGCCCTGCTCATTACAGCTTACAATCTAAAAGGATATAATGTGATATGCCTATACAAAAACCTCTTTACATTTCCTGATAAAGTGGATGCAAGATATACGAATACTGCTCCCTACAATTCCACCTTATTGTCTCTGATTAACTGAATCCTGTGTTTTTCAATGATTAAGAAATAAATGTTGTTTAACCACTTGAGCTCCGGAAGGTTTTACTCCCTTCATGACCAGGGCATTGTTTGCTATTCCGCACTGTGCTAATTTAACTGGCAATTGCTCAATCATGCAACACTGTACCCAAATTAAATATATATCATTTTTCTTCACACAAATAGAGATTTCTTTTGGTGGTATTTGATCACCGCTGGCTCTTTAAATTTTTTATGTGCCGAATTTGTAGTGGCCGATCTGCTGACAGAATTAAACCCTCCTGTCCTTTACAGCCAAGAAAGCTACTTATGTTTGATCTGCAACTGCCATGGTACTGCACGTGATCACTTTATCACACCAGCCATTTGATGGTTAAACTGGTTGAGGACAGAAGCAAATGTGACAGTTAGCAATCCCGGCATTCCAGGAATGTAACTGTTTTTGAATCCGCTAAATCAATGGGTTTATTTCCGCTTTATAATTTACTGCTGTTTTGGGGCTCTGTGCTTCAGCAAATGACAGCCTCCCGCAAGAGGAAGCAGGAACAATGCTGGAGACAATTTACAGCACACACTAATTTTGGTACCATGATTATTATTGTGAAATGTCTGTTCCTTGCTAAAGAACATTATTTTTATCAAGTTGTTATGGGTAAAGATGCGCTTTAATATAGTGATCAGTAATAATACTGGACACTGTATAAATGACGCTGGCTGGGAAGGGGTTAACATTTAGGGACAATCAAGGGGTTAACTGTGTGCCTAACAAGTGTAATATGTGCTGCTTTTACTTACAGATGTAGCTGTTTTTTTCCCTGCTTTTCAGGGAGAAGAAACAGCCAGATTGCTGTTCTGTTTACACAGAGTCCTGTGTCTTTGTAAACACAGGAATCTGTTCTGTGATTGGCCACAGCCATTAACAGGTTTCATGCCAAATCATTGGCTGTAACTTGTTACAGAGTTGTGCTGTGGCCAATCACAGCACGGAACAGCAGGGGACGTGCATGCCCCGAACCCAGAAGAAGGCTGGCGACATACATGTATGTTGCCGTGCCTGCACCTGCCGTCTGCTTGCAGCATATTTGCTCTCAGCGGGTCAGCAAATGGTTAAACAAATGCAAAAGTGTCTTTTGCACATAAAGTGTTGTTAACGTCTGACATGCACTGGCAATTTAAGTTGTTTCAGAAGGAACTTTATTTGAAAAACTGTAATAACAACAAACATAACCTGAAAGCAAGCTGTAAACAAAGACTGCTGATAACAGTGTAAATGAGAACAATCCAATACAGATGGCCCTTGATGCATCACTTGACCCTATTATGTGCCACTGGCGGATTTACCACCTGAAGCCTCACTGATCAGTAGTTGTGGGCTTAAAACTAAGCTGAACAGATGTTTAAACTAATCTATTTCCCACCCTTCACCCTCCTGAGACCCAGATTCAGCTGACAGCAGGCTAATGTCTGTTGTCAGCTGACATCACAAAGCTGCTCCAGGCTTTGGAAGGATCCTGATCATATTTTTGAGATCCACCAAGATGCCTGACTGGCAGCTGTATCAGCCTGTCAACACGTTGCTGAGAGCCTGAGCCAGCTGCTCTCTCTCCCTCCACAGCCTGTCATTCTAGCAAGCACTAGTGGGGCAGAGCAGAGAGCTGGTGACTGACAGTCACTGCTCTCTGAAGGCCGAGAACTGAGCAATCAGTGGTCATGTGATCGCTCAGTTCTCGGTCTTAGAACTGGCAGGGGACAGCTGCAGCTTTGGACCAAACCTAGCCCTGCTTGGGTTTTTTTTTTTGGAATCTCGCACTTCTCTTTTAAGAAAAATCCCCATTGCCCTCATAACCTAAGATTATAGTTGTGGTGATCTATTTTAAAGTCATTATTCTTGAATAAGTATTTACGTCAGATCAAATTTACTTGTGTAATTTCTGGACTGTATTCACACATGGGGACCTGTCTCTAGCAGTGTTCTTCTTTTGCTTCATACGAGTGTCTTTCTTAGAAGTAGTGCCTACATCATTTTTATTTCCAGAGGAATAACCAAGAAAACCATGGCCTTCAAGCTGGATAAACTTTGAGCAAGGATCTGCTGATATAGCTTTACACTTGCCTTTAGATGTTTTGCAATGATATTGCATTCCGGCACTACCATGTTTTGTGGAGACTTCACACCGAGTAGTAGGAAGCTTCGCCAATGAACAATCATTACTTTCCAAGTCCCAGTCATGTTTTGGACTAGGATGAATGGCTTGGGCCTTATGCCTACTTTCACATGAACACTGCCATGGTTTTGCTTGCATTTGAGCTGACCAAGCTAATATACAACAGAAAACATTACTGGATTCTTCATTCTCCACTGTTTGAACATCTGATCTAACTTCATCACTTTTGTTCTCATCTCTTATTTGTTGCATTACATCATTTACAAGAATGGGTGTATTGTACTGATTCATCACCAAAGGATCTTTCTGTAAGGAAAACCTAACTACTTGATGTTTGGAAAGGGTGGTTCCACGAAGACACTCCGGTACTTTTGTGTCACACACAAGGTTTTCTGGGTCATCTGTAGGCAGATTATCTTGGTTTCTTTGTCCTCTGTCTGTCTGTAAAGAAGATAACTGTAACTTTGCTGCGTTGTCAATGGGGTGCAAGCCTACTTTTTTCATTCCAGAACCACACTTTTTTGAAGGTATGTTCAAAATGTCGGAATCCACTGAATTGTCCTCTGCTATAACCTTACGTACTTTTGTCATTCCAGAATCAGTTTTGTTTGAAGATATGAACAAATCATCAGAATCCACTGAATTGTCCTCTGCTTCAACCTTACTAATCATCTCAAAGTTATATTTCACAGGTCTCTGATCACTGTCTGGATTGTTTGTTGCTTGGTCACACCAGTCAAACAACTGTGCCATAGAAGAGCTGTAGCATTGACTTTCCTGAGACAAAGAACAGGGGTGTATTATCCGTATATTGTATAAAGGAGACATCTGCCTGTCATAATAATCCAGTATGTCACATTCTGTGTTTATTGCTTCTGTGTCTGAAGCTTGCGTGTTGCCTGGATCTAGAGCTAAATCCAATGCATCAGCCTCCATAGCCCTACTGTGATACTGCCAAAAACAAACACAATTTATTAGAAAGATCATTAAAATTGCTAATGTAGATGTCAAATGGTAGCAGAATCTAAACCTTATTACTAAACTCTCTTATTAATTTTAACATGTTTATATCATTTCAAAGGTTGTTTTTATTCCTTTTAAATCTGCATCGTTATCTCTTTGTAAATACCTGGTTATTCTGCCATGAGCATCCTTGTTCAAACACCTCCTGTTATAGTGTGTCTACAAAATGTGCTTCAAAATTGTCACCGGATACATTTGATCCCGGCAGAGAACACAAGAGGCAGTGCCAACACACACAGGAGTGCCTACAATGATCAGCTTTTATTTACTTATTTATTTATATGAAACCTTTATCCCAAAAAAGAAAAAAAACTGTGGCTGTAACTGTTTATATAGTATTAGCTGGAGCTTGACTTCAATTTGTCAGTGTATCTAAATCTGCTAGTACATCTAACACTTCACTCCCCTTCCCCCAGGCTGACAATGCAGCTGTGCCCCCTGCACTCATTCATCCAGCGTGGGGGCACTTTAATACAGGAGCTGTGTTACTGACCCGGTCACTAGTTGAAAACAGAGGGGAAAAAACTAAAAAGAAAACTAATGCAGCCACCACATCTAATAATTGGTAAACTGCAATATATAAAATTTTTGGTTTTAGTTTAATACCACTTTAATTTATTCTGGCCACTGGAATACAATTACAGTCATACGTGTGCGTTTATTCACATACGTGTAAATTATGCTCATAGACTCCTCTCTGAGCGCAGTTTTGGTGCGTTTTTTTTTTATTGCCTCTAAAAGCTGTTCTTAACCATTAGCCGCCCGGCCAATAGCCGTTTGGCGGCTTGAAAAGCGCTGCAGCTTTCCGGGTCCACGCCATTTGGCGTGCTCCCGCACATGCGCCGTTTGCGCTATTGCAGAGCGGCGCAGCAGCGGGATCTGTCACCGCCCGTGCACCTCGGACACGGCCGATGACAGATCCGAGTACCGGCTCCCGTTGCCGGTACCATGTGACCTGCCGCGACCAATCACAGCAGGTCACATGACAGTTGTATACAATGGATGGCTTCATTCATGATGCCATCCATTGTATACTAGTGCCTAGCTGTGAATGGTCATAACTAATCACATGCACATGTCATGTGATTAGCTGTGACCAAATCACAGCTAAGCACAAAAAAAAAAAAAAAAAAAAAAAAAAAGCTGAATGAATCGATTTCATTCAGCTAAATGCTTGCTTATAGCAAAGTAATTCTTTGCTATAAGCAAATTGTGTAAAAAAAAAAAAAAAAAAAAAAAACTGATCACTTACCCAAAGTAGTACAATGTTACTATGGTAACATTGTACTATTTTGGTCATAGTAAAATATGAAAAAAAATCTTAAAAAAAATAAAAAAAAATGTAATAAAAAATTAAATATA